GTGATTTGCTATTTGTACCACAGGTGGGTTGCTGCTGGTTTGGCCGAACCAGGCCAAACTGGCAGTGGAAGTCAGACCTGGGTTGCACAACCGGCAGCGACTCAGGCCTGCCACGCTCCTGAATTGGTTCCCTTGCCGCCACTGGACCACTGCCATTTTGGATTTTAGTGTTTAGAACAATTTACATTGAACAGTGCACGGGGTTGTGAACCAGTAGTAAAACTGTCAGCAATACCCCTGATTTGTACCCAACACTAATCTAAGGATCTAGTTGTGTCCAGGGTTATTAAAAAAAGAGGGACTAATATCCCCTTTGGTCATAAAGCTAATTTGATCTTAGGGAGAGTCACCCAACCCATTTCTGCATATATCCAGTGGAAAACCCCAAATGTGGCATATTTTAATACTGCGTGGGTGTGGCTTTTGTGATCCCGAAAGTGGATGAGGCTGAATTCTGTGAATGCTTAAAAGAGAGTTATTTAGACTAGCCTTTTTCTGCAGGCTCCCAAAGTGGATTAGATCCTTTTTGCAAATTATGTTGCCGTTGTGATCTTGCAGAACAACTTGGCATTGCTGTGTGGCTTAAACACTAAGACTAAACTGACTTTTACTTTGATTTCCTTTGATCAGCCTAAAGCTACCTGTCTTTAAAGTAATTTTTTTAAAAATGACAGTTTAAATCTAGAATCATGGCTTATAGTCCTGGCTGTGTGAGTTCCTGAACCCAGACAGGAAATTAAAGAACAGTGACCCACCTCACTGCTCTCTTACCCTCCAGCCTGTGGTCCCAGAGCAGGACAACAGAAAGAGACCACAAGCACAACTGCTTCCGCTGCAGTATTTCCATTGTCACTTGGCTGCTCCTTTTATTCATAAATTCACAATAAGTTCTGTACAATAAAAATTTAAAAAGTAACATTTTTAAGGTTAATCTTTTCCCATCCTGCAGCAAACCAAAATATTCCAGGCCCTTTAATATCAGGAGATGAAAATAATCTTCCTGCTAGGTGCCTTCATAGGCTTCATACTCATTGCTACTCCAAACTATAGAGAGTTGTGTCATGTAAATGCACACAGGAATAAGTGTGTGGGCTTTGGGTCACCCATAAGACAGAGGTTGTTTCAGCAGAATAGCTGATAGCTGTTGGCTATATTGTCTGTTTTTGCACCCTTTTGTTCTTACAGCTGTACTCTCATGAGAAGGAGGACAAACTTAGCACCACATCCGATCCCATTCTTGACTTGGACATCCCACTGGCAGTAGCCAAAGAGCGCGCCCATCAGAAACGCACCAGCAAACGGGCACCACAAATGGACTGGAGCAAGAAAAACGAACTCTTTAGCAATCTGTGAAGCACCCCAAACCCTCGAGCAGGGAGGTGATGTAAGGGCAATATTGGAAAAGCTGGCCAGATCATGCCTCCCCTTCCCCTACGCATTCCTGTTCCCTAGGTACATTTCCTTGCCCTTCTTCTCTTCCCCTCCCTTTGCTTGGAAATGTAGATGCAAGATCTCGTCTTGCCCTGGGTCACCTGAAAGGGCAAACACATGGCCTGATAATTCTGCCTGCACTGTTTTGGAGAAGCAATTGTATTTAAAGAGGAGGATGAGACATTTTCATATACCCTCTATAAATAGCTTAAGCTAGCTTGTTGGCTTCAAGATGTGAATCCAAAATGAATTTGGTGTCTCAGTTGGATCTGTAGTAGGAGACACGTACACATATCTATATATAAAGAGAATGTATGCACAGGACAAGGATGTAATACGTCAGATGCCACACTGAAAAGGGGGACTGTGATGCGTAGCTGTATTGTAGGTCCATTAACTTTTAAAATAGCTGGTTAAACATCTAAAACCATTAATCCCTATAGATCTCAACTGGCTCTCTTCAGAGAGAAATCATGTTGGATGCTGATTGAACTATTCCAGACTATGTCCTGTTAGGACCATAGTTTAAGCTTACTTTAATTCCTAATTTGATTACAAATGAACGTCCTTTTGTGGGGCAGTTCCTCTGTCCTCTTTTCAAGGAACTGCTTTGCTACGAGTGGAGAGAAGCATTTCTGATGCTCCACCATCTTCTCTCTTTTTGGGTAAAGACATTCCTGGATTGCCACTGCAAGAAAGGGCTTAGTAGGCAAGACCCAATACTTCTTGCTTAATGCTTTGGAGGTTTCAAAGTATGGGAAGTAGAATAATTGAAAGCTGTTGTAGCAGCCAGCCTGTGAGGTTCACTTTCTTTTGGCCAGGGGGATATGGTAAGGAGTCGTACCTAATGCAGCAATCAAAAGCACACAAGGATAATATCCTATGCTCAATTTACTCCAGAAATGGAGCCAATCAGGGTTTTCAATAATCATGATG